TTTGGGTCGGTTTGGGTCTCTTCAAAACCGAACCGAACCGACCCACGGACAGCCCTAACAACTATAAATAAAACTTACGTGTGCTAAGATGGAAGTTTGAAAAGAGGTTAAAATTTTATTTGTAAAATGTTCACTATTCCGTATATTCCCTAAACCACCTTAAGCGGCAGACCACAAGAATGACCTACCTTGTTATGAAGAAGAAATGAACGAGAGAGACGATGAAGAAAGATAACACTCTTGTTCTCTTTATATTTATGTTATTTATTGTGACATAATTGTGTAGCCAGGTATGGGTTCAGGATCGAAAAAAAATTCTTTTTAACACAGGCTAATAGGTAAGAAAAAAATTACATATAAAAAAATGTTTTGCACAAAAAATTTTTACACCTGAGAGGGCTACCCACATAGTCTGCTGTCCAAAATTCGATTGTGCGTGGGTAGCCTAATTTGGCTCTTTTTTGGGCCAATTCCGATGGGATCACGGTTGGTGGTTGGGTGGTTTTGAAGAGGNAGGGCTTCAATATGGTATATTGATTCGTGGAAAAAGGTGACCGGAGGACAGAGTTATGGTGGTCTAAAGTTGGCATCTTTAAGCTGTCCAAAATTGGGTAGCTCACTTTGGCGTGATTTTTTGGCCAATTTCGATGGAATCACGGCCAGTGGTTGGGTGGGTTGGTAAGAGAGCATTGAGGACTTCAATATGGTATATTGGTCAGTGGAAAAAGGTGGCCAGAGAACGGAGTTATAGTGGTCCAAAGTTGGCACCTTCAAGCTATTCAAAATCCGGACGTGCTCACTTTGATCCTTTATGTTTGAATTAAATGCATAAAGTCATCCAGTGACCATTTGTAAAAGCGCATGAAATTTCAGTGATCGTTTTTGCAAGTTTTGAATTTCAGTGACCGTTTTTTATTTTTTTCGTAAGTTCAGTGACTGTTTGTGAAATTAACTCATCTCAATTAGATCTATGTTGTTATAGTACTACAAAATCATTTGACTTCATCTCAGTATCAAAATTAAAAAACATCACCACTCTCATCATATTAAGAATTTGTTGTTGAAAATGAGTT